ACCGTTTATATATATATATATATATATATATATATATATATATATATATATATATATATATATATATATATATACACACACACACACACACACACACACACATACATACAGACATATATACACACATATACATATATACACACACACACACACACACACACACACATACATACAGACATATATATACACACACACACACATATATACACATACACGCATAAATATTCACTGTAGTTACACGTTTTGTTTTTTTAATGGAGAAAATCCCTTTGTGTGCGTTTTATTAATTTGTGAACTATAAATTGATCAGTAATTACAAACCAACATTGAAAGTTTCATTTATTCATTCAAAGACTTTCACATTTTTTTAGTGTTATTATTAACCCCATGCCCAAAAAGACATGTCATGTCTCTAAATGTAAAAAAAAAAAAAAATTTGTTATACAATATAATGTTTGTATAATAATTAGTTATTATTATTATTAAAACAATGGCCATTTTTGGTTATCATTTTTAATTTAGATAATAATAATGATCTATTTTATATATTCTTTTTATTATTACTACTAGTAACATTTTACATATTTTATTTAAAAAAAAAAAATTTAAATACTGATAGAACATTTAAATGTGGGACACACTTCATAAATAATAATAATATGCCCTCCAATGTAAATAAATAAAATGTTTGCATACCATCTAATAAAAAAATATTTTTTTTTATAAATTACTTTTATATTATTTTATTTCATATTAATATTTCATATAAATTATTATTTTAAAACCATTGACAGAACATTTAACATTAACATTTAAAAATCCCACACATTTAAACTATATTCATACATTTGTCATGGCCTCTACACAAATGTAAAATAAGAGTTCACATTTAGTTTGATGATCAACATTTTCTGTAGATTAAGCACTTCTTTCACTGACCGTTTGCTACAATGCCAACACGCCACAGAATGCACATCAAATCAACAAAGGCCAATCAGCGCGTGCCGTCGGTCTGGCAGGTTAAACTAGAGAGTCAGAGCTTCCCTAGACCTGTTGGATTTCTAACGGATTTCCCTCATTCTGTCCCGGGAGACGATCGGTCAGAATCAGTGTTACTGCAGCCGTCTTTAATGAGAAGAGCAGACTGAAGCCGGCAGACGTGGAATCGTGGAATAAATGTTAATGGAGAGAGGAACATTCCAGAACTAATGCAGACCTTCAGCAAGTGTTTATCAGCAGCATTCCTCAACCAATGAGAGTCCAAACAGAGCACCAAATACTGAGACTGGCAAAGAGAAAAGTGTCTCACCGTTGTTCTCCTGCTCGTATTCATTGTGATCCTGCAAAACAAGAGCAGATTCGAGATCAGATGCATTTACAAAACCAACATGGACAGTATTTGCTTCAGCTCCTTTTAACCTCCTTGATGTGACACTGAATATCCAGTGAGAAAATTAAGTGTTTTAATGTTCAGGGAGTATTATTGGACAGTACTGTTTCTCTCTGTACACACAGCATTTATTACATCAACAGAAGAGTAAACACATTTCAAGTTACTAGTTTTGATTCAAGATCATGTTACTAAAATTGTTCTATAAGAGCAGAGACATTCAATACAGACAAAACAGAAACAAAAGCCTGTAAAAACCAACATCTACAAGACAAGCGGATAAATTCAGTAAGAAATTCCTCCTGTGAAGGACAAATGAATTAATCTGTCCACATAAAGAGCTCTGTGGTTTTAGTGAACGAGAGCGAGTGAGTGAGTGTGAGAGTGAGTGAGTGAGTGAGTGTGTGTGTATGAGAGTGAGTGAGTGAGTGAGTGAGTGTATGAGAGGGTGAGAGTGTATGAGAGGGTGAGAGTGTATGAGAGGGTGAGAGTGTATGAGAGGGTGAGAGTGTATGAGAGGGTGAGAGTGAGAGAGTGAGTGTAAGTGTATGAGAGTGTGAGAGGGTGAGAGAATGTATGAGAGTGAGAGTGTGAGAGAGTGTGTGAGAGAGAGAGAGTGTGAGTGTATGAGAGTGTGAGTGTATGAGAGAGTGAGAGTGAGAGAGTGAGAGAGAGAATGTATGAGAGTGAGAGTGTGAGAGAGAGAGTGAGTGAGTGTGAGTGTATGAGAGTGTGAGAGAGTGAGTGTGAGTGAATGTATGAGAGTGAGAGTGTGAGAGAGAGAGAGAGTGAGTGAGAGTGTGAGTGTATGAGAGTGAGAGTGTATGAGAGTGTGAGTGAGAGTGAGTGAATGTATGAGAGAGAGTGTGAGAGAGAGAGTGAGTGTATGAGAGTGAGAGTGTATGAGAGTGTGAGAGAGTGAGTGAATGTAAGAGAGTGAGAGTGAGAGTGTGAGTGTATGAGAGAGAGTGTGAGTGTATGAGAGTGTGAGAGAGAGAGTGAGAGAGTGTGAGAGAGTGAGAGTGTGAGAGAGTGTGTGAGAGAGAGAGAGAGAGTGTATGAGTGAGTGCGAGTGAGAGAGAGTGCGAGTGAGAGAGTGCGAGTGAGAGAGCGAGCGAGTGAGAGAGCGAGCGAGCGAGTGAGCGAGTGAGCGAGTGAGCGAGAGAGAGCGAGTGAGAGAGCGAGAGAGAGCGGGAGAGAGCGAGAGAGAGCGGGAGAGAGCGAGAGAGAGCGGGAGAGAGCGAGAGAGAGCGAGAGAGAGCGAGAGAGAGCGAGAGAGAGCGAGAGAGAGCGAGAGAGAGCGAGAGAGAGCGAGAGAGAGCGAGAG